CAAAATATACCAATAGCACAAAACACTATAAACTTCCCAAATGAATTAATTGAACAATTAGAAGAAATGTACATAGACCACTTTAGTAAATTTAAAGACTCCGACCCAACAAATAGACCATACATCCCTAAATTAAAACCTTCCAAGAAACTTGCAGCAATTATTAGTTATCTTAATAATAATATACTTCCAAAGACACTGACCACGGATACAGATTTCTGTACACTACAGACCTCAATTTATTGTGCAGCATACACTGCAGCTAAGTTCAATGGAGCCAGAATCAAAGAAATAAATAATAGAGCTATTAGTCAATCTGAAAAAGTACCGTGGTGGCAAAAACGATTAGAAAGTAGAATTAGGGATCTCAGAGCCAATATAGGGAGACTTTCAGAATATGCAAAAGGTGTTCGGTCGGAAGCTCTAGAAAAGCATGTAACCAACATAAAACAAATATACAAAATACACACTCGACATGAAACAGAAAACACTGATATAGCACATTACTTAGACACTTTAAAACAAAAACTTAATACTCTAGCAAGCAGATTAAGAAGGTATAAGGAGACGACGAATAGAAAAACACAAAACAAACAGTTCTCTAATAATGAAAAATTATTTTATAGAAAATTAACCCAGCAAAACAATAATCCACAAGAGAATAACATACCACTACCAAGCTCCGAATCACTACACGCATTCTGGTCTAACATATGGTCAAATCCAAAACAACACCAACTAAACAATTGGATTGAGGACGACAAACAAAACTGGACAGACATACCAGAAATGACATTTGAGCAGATTCATTTACACCTCTTACAAAGAGTTATAGCTAGGACACACAACTGGAAAGCTGCGGGCTCCGACAACATTCACAACTTCTGGTATAAGAAGTTAACATGCACACACACACTATTACTCAAACACATCAACACGTTCATTCAATCACCTGACACAATGCCACCATACATCACGCAAGGCACCACATATATGTTACCAAAAGATCTGACAGACACTGCTAACCCCGCTAAATACCGACCTATTACTTGCCTCCAGAACATTTACAAAATTATTACTTCATGCCTAAGTGAAACAATATACAAACACACACAAGAACATAGTATACTAGCAGAGGAACAAAAAGGGTGCCGTAAGAATAGCATGGGATGCAAAGAACAACTGACTATAGACGCCGTAGCATCCAATCAAGCATTGAAACAAAAACGCGACATACACACCATGTACATAGATTACAAAAAAGCCTTCGACTCCGTACCGCACTCTTGGTTGATACATATTCTCAAACATTATAAAATTCATCCTGTAATTATCCAATTTCTAGAAAAAATTATGCCCTCCTGGAATACCAAACTAAAACTGTATAACTCAAATCAAAGCATTGAAACAGACTTCATTTCTATAAAAAGAGGTATCTTTCAAGGTGATGCGTTGAGCCCCTTATGGTTCTGCCTAGCCCTTAACCCACTCTCTAACATGTTAAACAAACACAATATTGGATTCACAATTAAACACAACTCAGAAAGTACAAACCTCACTCATCTCATGTACATGGATGATATAAAACTATTCGCTAGCACCCTAAATGAAATACACACCCTCGCTGACATCACACAAACATTTTCAAATGATATCTGCATGGAATTCGGAATAGATAAGTGTAGAATTCAATCAGTCATCGGTGGAATAGCAGAACCTACAATGTACGAACTAGGAAATCAAGAAATCATAGAATCAGTAGACCCTGACGAGGGATATAAATACCTAGGTTATTACCAGTCAAAAGAAATTCACCACAAAAACACCAAAAAGATACTACAACAAAATTTTCGAAACAGACTTCATAAAATACTACACACCCATCTTAATGCAAAAAATACCATTAAAGCAATAAACACTTTCGCTATCCCTATACTGACTTACTCTTTTGGTATCATTCGATGGACACAAACAGACCTCACCACACTTCAAAGAATTATCAACACCACAATGACAAAACATAGGAAACATCACCCCAGGGCATGCATTCAAAGGCTAACCCTGCCTAAAATTGAAGGTGGTAGAGGTCTTATCGACATAACAAATCTTCACAATAACCAAATAACACTACTTAGATCATTCTTCTTCAAGCGCTCACAACACTCACCACTACATAAAGCCATATGTCAGGCAGACTCATTCACACCACTTTATCTAGCAAACCACACAAAACAAATGACCATAATCAGCAAAGAGCAAAAGATACAGACTTGGACGCAAAAATCGCTCCATGGCCGTCATCGTCTCGACTTAACCAACCCTATTGTTGACAAAATAGCGTCAAACGCATGGTTAAAGCGAGGCGAGCTGTTTCCAGAAACAGAAGGCTTTATGTTAGCGATCCAAGATCAAGTCATAGACACCAAAAATTATAGGAAATATATAATCCGAGACAGTACCCTTGGTAGTGACCACTGCAGACACTGCCACAGACAACCAGAAACAATTCAACACATTACAGGCGCATGCTCATCCATCACACAAACAGACTACAAACATAGACACGACCAGGTTGCAGCAATCATACACCAAGCACTTGCACACAAACACAAACTCATTGCAGAAAAAGCACCATACTACAAGTATACACCCCAAATCATCCTAGATTCACCTGAATTTAAAATGTACTGGGACAGAACCATACTCACCGATAAAACTATTCATCACAACCGGCCTGACATCACGCTTCACGACAAGAAGAACAAAACAGTATACCTAATAGATATAGCGATCCCCAACACACATAATCTCAGTTCCACCCATACTAACAAACTTTCTAAATATGCAGACTTGACTATTGAACTTAAAACTCAGTGGCAAGTCCACACTGTCAAAACAGTTCCTATTATTATATCTAGTACAGGCGTCATCCCCAAAACACTTCATACCAGTCTAAAGTCCCTTGACTTACATCCACTTACATTCACACTTCTACAAAAAGCTGTCATACTTAACACATGCCGAATTGTCAGGAAGTTTTTATCTATTGATTAATGATTAAAATCATCATCTCCAAGGTTGCTTTGGCCACAAGCCCGCAACTCTGGTGTATTTCCCCAGAAATGGGTGAGGTTCTTACCTAAAACACAAAAATAATAATAATAATAATATCCACTGGTCATACCTTACACTTCCTGACAATATGTAGGAATATGTAGTAGTTTTTTAGTTTAACACAAATAAGAGATGTGATTATGTTAGGATTATATTTCAATGATATATAAAAGATAGAAAATATAACTGTTTATGCTGACAATATGTAGGAATATATAGTAGTTTCTTTCGATAAAGAAGACCTCGAAAGTCTTAGTCTGACTTAAATTCGGTAAATAAACATTTCTCCAAGGTCAAGGAAATGTTATCTCTAAAGGAAGATAACAATATGTGCAATCTTTTTGAAAAATAGGTTATATTTTCTAGTAGTTTAGTTATACCTATTTCAGAGTATGAGGTTATAGGTTGGTCTCAATCCAAGATAAGGCTAGTTAGATTAGTCAATTTTGAAACAGTAACATGAAAAGTCAGGTGAACAGGAATTCGATTACGTTTATGCTTCGACCAGTAACATTTATTAAATAATTTAAAGAAAAATTGCAATTAATTAAAATCTAAACGACTGTTCAATACAATTATGGATTACGTTAATGTATGCCAGTTTGTTCAGTTATCAGAATGTGGGACAAACATGAGTCACTACACAGTTCGACCTCACAGATGTTTTGTTGCCGTACCTACTTAGTACCTATATACAACACTCTGTATACCTCTATAGGTATGTATCTACATGCAATATTACCACTGAATACTGCATGTTGTCTGAACAATGATTCGTAAGTTCCCTGAAGTGAAAAGTAGTTGATTAATAAGTAGGTACTTAGGATAGGTAAAAACATAGGGTAAATTATGACATAACATAACATCACGCCTTTTATCCCCCGATGAGGTAGGCGGAAGTGCACATTACGACACTTAATTAATGCCACTGCACAATGTAACATTCACTTTTCACTATTTATATTATGAATTCCATGTAATAGAGGGTGAGCCTACCTATTGCCATATACCAAGCATATTTCCAGACTCCGTGCTACTACTGAGATTATTTTTAAATATCCAGTAATACTTTGCCCAACCCGGGATTCGTGTGTGGTATGTATGTGGTGTATGTACTTATGAGCACGAGTACAGGACATAACTGTAAAATGGGTTGTAAATTTATCATTATAATTAATTAATGTTTTCATTATCATTGCTATGTAGCTTGTAATTGATGTATAATTAATTCTGATTTACGTACAAGTAATTAAACGCAAATAACTATAAATGTATTGACGGACCCCGGACATAGGACATAACGCATTCGCGTCTTGCACTCATTTTAACAATCTGTAAGTCCGAGAATCCGTAAGATTAGCTTACTTTTTTTTCTGAAATCAGTGTAAAGTAAATAGATTGTGTATGGCAATAGGCTCGTCCCTTATACAGGGGACTAATAACATGACATCAACGATGTCGCGGAGAACCTAACGGGTTACCGGGGCTCCGGCTCGACGTGCAGGAGAAGGAACGGGGTGATTTTTAGTCAGTAAGAGTCTGAACTCCCTCCCGCCTCGCCCAGGCGGGAGTAGTCATTCGATGACTTCCCCCTTTAGAAAAAACCCCTATCAACGATTAAAGACGTCACGTTATTTGTTATTGTGTCGTAATCGGAACTTTTTTGTCGTTGATATGATCCGATATATGATTAGTCAGTGATGTCGAAGTGTCAATGAACTTCTGTGCATGGAATTGATATTGACAACTGATGCTTATGCCAGTGCCCTTCATTAACATTTCTATTGTATTTAAGTAATAAATGTTTGTTAAAAACAAATGACTGTCTAGTAGAGCCACAGTTAAGGCATAGATAGAACACAAATATGATATAACTAGCAACTTCTGCGCGGTTTCAACCGCTATGCTCGGCTCCTATTGATCCTAGCATGATGTTTATGGACTATAGCCGTCCTCGATAAATGCACTATCCAACACAAAAATAATTGTAAGCTGCGCGACGTCGCCGCGACCGCGCACGCTGCTAATGAGGAATGTAATGGTGAGTGCGGCGCACACAACTTGAGCTTTTGATAGGAAGAAATCACTGATAGTCAAAGACTATCCGTTTATTATAAACTTCGCTACCAAATAACTAATGCTATCTATGTTGATGTGGGGAGTACTGATATATATATATATATATATATGAATGCTAAACTTGTACTGGCGCTTTATACAGTGATTTGCGTATAGCGACGTAAAAGTGCTGATGAACCCCTCTGTGGTTCGAAACTAGTAGAGCTTTTCTCAGTATATTCACGTGAGAAACCCGCGATTTTAGTTAACAAAAAGGATTATTCAAATCAAACCAATAGTTCCGGAGATTAGCTCGTTCAAACAAACAAACTAATAAGAAGTATAAAATCATATTATAAACTTTAAAAAATTTAATCCTAGAAGAAATGACATGATATATTTTGTTTTTGTTTTCAGCAAGAAGATAAACCTTCGTCATCAATACCTTGGCTGAAGTTCCTGACCTGCGTCCCCCTGTGGGCCATTCTTATTGCGCAGTGTGGCCAGGCTTGGGTGTTCTACACCCAGTTCACGGAACTACCCTCTTATATGAACAATATACTACACTTTGATATTGTAGCTGTGAGTATAAGTGTAAATAATGTATTAAATTACAGATTGGTGTTGAGCCGTTAGTATCTTAAGGTTATTGTTATTAACCAAGTTCGATTTCTGCGTATTCCGTCCGATTTTATAATTGGATAATTGCCTTCATCAAAAATTAATTATTTCGACTGTTCAATATAATAAAATAATCACATTTTCATTAATTAATTTAATCAGATTTTATGACCAACTGAATTTTAATAATCACACATACATACATAACTTCACGCCTGTCTCCCATAGGGGTAGGCAGAGACTAGGGAACGCCAATTACTATACGATTCCTACATACCTCTTTCGCTTCAATAATTTAATTTTAATATCTGTTCCAGCAAATTTTTGAGAATTAAGTGTGCTCTTTGATGCTAAAAAATCGTGATGTAAAATACACTAATCACGTACAAAATTCATAGAAAACTGTCGTTTTTGACAGTTCGAAAAAAGTTTTGAATTTGACTAGTTGGCAAGTACCTAATTAATTTAGTTACACAGGCATTGCCTTTTAATCTTCATCTTTTACTGTGGAACTACGTTATCTGATGACGTTATATGAACTACGTTATATGATCTACGATACTGATGGGTTACTACGTTATCTTTTATGAGAAAGAAGCAACTGACTGCCTTGATGGCCGAGTGGTCGCAACTTGCGACTCGCAAGTTCGACTGCCGGGCAAAGGCTCTCGGTTTCGATTTCCGAATCGGGCAAAGTATTACTGGGTTTAAAAAAAATCTCAGTAGTAGTACGGAGTCTGGAATAGTGCCCGGTGTATGGCAATAGGCTCACCCCCTATTACATGGGACTTATAAAATAAATAGTGAAAAGTGGGTGTTACTTCTGTGTGCACCTCTGCCTATCCCTTCGGGGAAAAAAGGTGTGATGTTATGTTATAAAAGAAAGAAGCAACTGACTATATGGCCTCTATTTGCAGAATTCAAGACTGAGTGCCCTGCCATACCTGACTGCGTGGCTGGGCGGTATATTGCTGTGTATATTCGCTGACTGGACGCTCGCCAAGGGATGGATATCCAGACTCAACAGTATGAAACTCTGGAACACTGTCTGTGAGTAGAAATTATTTATAATTTGTTTTTCCAATCCGGTCCACTAGATTACACAAATGTAGCTTAAGGTCCTGTTTGTTTAATAGAGGATTTCCTTGTGTTATACTACAGGACAGTAATGTTTTTACAGCTATAGTGATTGTGCAAATATGACTTAAGTCTACACTAGCTCCTTGTTGACCGACTGCCTCGTTGGCCAAGTGGTTACTAGTGCGACTACCGGGCAAGGGGTTTCGGTTTCGATTCCCGGGTCAGGCAAAGTACTACTGGGTATTTTTTTAAATTTCTCAGTAGTAGCACGAAGTCTGAAAATGTGCCCGGTATATGGCAGTAGGTTCACCCCCAATTACATGGGACTCATAACATAAATAGTAAAAGGTGGGTGTTACATTGTACAGTGGCACTAAGTTCTGTAATGTACGCCTCTGCCTACCCTTTCGGGGATAAAAGGCGTGATGTTATGTTATGTCTACACTAGCCATCGGGTGAACACAAAAACGTTAGCCCTCATTCAACTTGGGTTCGCTGCCATCGCAGCGGTAAGTCCCCTCTTTGAGGAGTGGCTTGAGAGACGCTACGGCGTCCTCACCTACCGCCTGACGCAGGTCCTCACCGGACATGGAAGTTTCGGGAGGTACCTGTGTCTGATGGGGCGGGAGGAAACGTCCGGGTGTCATCACTGCGAGGACCGCCCTGAGGACACGGTGGAACACACGGTGGGAGAATGCCCTTCGTGGGCTGAGCACCGCCGTGTCCTCAGGGAAGTGATCGGCGATGGCGACCTCTCGCGTCCGGGCCTAGTGCAGGCCATGATGCGGAGCGAGGGGGATTGGGATGCCGTCTCCTCCTTTTGCGAAGCAGTCATGCTAGCTAAGGAGGAGGCGGGACGCGTGAGGCAGCGAAGCGCTGCCTCCTCGCAACCCAGCCATCGCGAAGGACACACCGGGCGTCGGGGATCGCGGGACGATCTCCGGCCACCGTAAGCGCGGGCCTGCGGACGGCGAGCATGGGTGGCTCCCCGTCCGACCAGAAACAGACCCGAGCGTACGGCGCGTCGCGTTCCGCGCGCGCCTCAAAGAGCCATCAGACCACCACAGATGGGGCCCAATAGGGCCGATGCCGATTCGGTGTCGCGGAGAACCTAACGGGTAACCGGGGCTCCGGCTCGACGTGCAGGAGAAGGAACGGGGTGGTTTTTAGTCAGTAAGAGTCTGACACTCCCTCCCGCCTCACCCAGGCGGGAGCAGTCATTCGATGATTTTCCCCCCTTAAAAAAAAAAAAGCCCTCATTCAACTACCCGACTTAAGATCGGATTTCAAACCATACATCAGATATAAGGTCAATCTTATAGAGAAAAGTATCTTCAGATAAAATTATTTCACTGATTCCATTTTTTACACAACATAACATAACTTCACGCTTTTATCTCCGAAGCCAGAGGTGCACATTACGGCACTTAATAGTGGCAACTATACAATGTAACACCCACTTTTCACTATTCTATGTTATGAGTCCCGTGTATAGGGTGTGAGCTCTACTCCGTGCTACTACTGAGATTTTTTTAAAACCCCGTTATTCTTTGATCGACCCGGGAATCGAACTCGAGACCCCTTGTCCGGCAGTCGCACTTGCGCCCACTCGGCCAATGAGGCAGTTATGTCCATGTTTTGTATTTGAAATTATTAATTTTTGTTACTATCGACCGACGTAATGCGGCTAGATCAAGTCGATTTAGTACATAGGTTATCTAGACTAGCGTGCAGATAAGCGTATCGAAGCGCTTAGAATTAATAATATCAATATTTATATGCCTACCTATACTAAGGCCCGTATTAATAAACCGATATCAGCGTAAGAGAGAGATGTTAAGATCCTGTTTGATATTCCGACATATTAATAAACAAAACCTACTACGCGGTTATAAGTAACTATGTGTTGCCTATAGATAATATTGATTTCCGTGGTATCTTACTATGCGTGTACTTGATGTATATGGATATATGAATATTAAAAGAATGTCCCTCTGACTTTGTTAATAAATCTGATTAAGATTATTAAATATCGAATAAAATTAAATAATCGAATAACTTTGACTGCCTCGTTGGCCGAGTGGTCGCAAGTGTGACTGTCGGGCAACGGGCCTCGTGTTCGATTTCCGGGTCGGGAAAAGTATTACTGGTTTTTTTTAATCTCAGTAGTAGCACGGCGTCTGGTATTGTGCCCGATATATGCCAATAGGCTCACCCCCTATAACATGGGGCTCATAACATAAATAGTTAAACATGGATGTTACATTGTACAGTGGAATTAAGTGCCGTAATGTGCACCTCTGCTTATCTCTTCAGGGATAAAAGGCGTGAAGTTATGTTGAATATTTTACATTTTTTCCATACTAAAGTCTGTCAAATGTCAATTTTATTCTATAGTTAAGAATTACCTATTGTTTAAAAAGTCGGCCCTTAACAAAGCAATTGAAATGAGAAGATTTTCTTTAGTATAGACTAGCTTTTACCCTAGACTTATTTCTAATGACTAATGTTTTTGTTTCACAGCGGCATTTATCCCAGCGTTTGGTCTGCTTGGCATCGCGTGGGCTGGCTGCGACAGGATCGCTGTCATACTCCTGCTGTGCATCACTTCGGCCTTTGGAGGTGCTGCGTATGCCGGTGAGTTGAGAAATAGATCTTGTATGGATTTGAAGATGGTATGACATAATTGCTATGCGATAATAATAAATCGACTGCCTCATTGGCCGAGTGGTCGCAAGTACGACTGCCGGGCAAGGGGTCTCGGGTTCGATTTTCGAGTCAGGCAAAGTACGGAGTACGGAGTCTGAAATTGTGCCCGGTATATGGCAATAGGCTCAACTCCTATTACATGGGACTCAAAACATAAATAGTGAATAGTGGGTGTTACATTGTACAGTGGCATAATGTGCACCTCTGCCTACCCCTTCGGGGATAAAAGGCGTGATGTTATGATGTTATGTAATAATAAATCTGTTTAGATACATACAATCATACATACAAATACATACCTCTCACTTCACCCAAGGCAGAAGGAGTTATTTGATGATTTCCAACCTACAAAAAACGCCCTTGTTCATGGGGTATGCAGAAACAAATCAACAACTACAACAGTGTACATATGTAGGTACTTATTTAGCGTCCATCACATTGATACCGACATGAAATCTATCTATTTAATCCGATTTATTTTTCTTTATAACTAAAATACTGCACTTTTAACGCAATGAGGATGTATAACAAATAAATAAAAAGTAAATAATGATAATGATTAGTATAGTTTACTTAGCGGACATGACCTCGCGACCTTGCTACAAAGACAACTGATTTTCCGCTCTATTGACCGGGTCATTGCGTACGCTGCGTAGAGGAAGCGTTTAATGTGATTACTCGACAGAAGCGGTAAAAGCTAATGACTATTGTTCAAGTACTTACACTGGTAACTCTGGTAACTGGCGTGACTTCAGACCTAAAGAACCAGGTTCGATTCTTTGGTATGTTTGTTATTGTTTTGTTGTAGGAAACTTCAAAAATCAGTTTAAGTAGTCAATCTGTCTTTAATTTATATTATTGACAGTCTGGCCCCATAGTATAGTCAAATGAATTACGTAACTGCCTAATTGGTACTTAGTTAGGGCAGGAACAGACATCACGTCAGTGCTTCACCCAATCTATGAAAATTCTACAATAAACTTTATATAAAAAACAATAAGGTTGAGTTTTATATAGCTGACGTAGTACTTTTTTCCTTATCCCTTCTTGGAATAAGTAAGCATATTATATTATATTATATTACATACTAATATAATGTTACAGGTAATCAAATGAACCACATCGACCTGTCGCCGCAGTTCGCGGGCACTATGTACGGTATAACGAACGCTGCGAGCAACATCTGCGGGTTCATGGCGCCTTACGTAGTCGGACATATTATTAAGGCAGAACAGGTAATGAATATCTTGTTTTTATTTGAGGTTTTTTATGAGGAACAGCAAACAGTGGCATTAGGTAAACTTATAATAATTATCCAGTGCTATA